CTCTGGGTCTAAAGTCCCCAGTTGCTCCATCTCTCCAGGTCATCGTCTCTGAAGGCAGACATTCTTTACTAGTTAAGCTAAGCTCTCATTTAGTTTTTTGAAAGGGATATTTTTGGTTTAAGGCTTAAAAATGATGTCAGGGACATAGGCTGAATGGATATGGGAGGAAGAGTGGGAGTATACCCACAAAGAGTTTAGCGTTTGAAAGAGGGTATTTGTACACGAGTGTGTACACATGAATATGGTGGAGTATACAATGGGCAAATGATGAAAACTTCTTAGATCTTATCAAACATCTTCATGCAATGAGTTCCTGGGTCTGAGGCCTCAGGATCATAATCTCAGAGGACACCATGGTCAATTGTCATAACATAGTCCACAAAGACAGTGTTCTACATCCAACTTTGATAAGTAGCAATTGGTATCTTAAAAGCTCATGTATGATTGGCCATTTAAGGTGCAGCTATTGGTCTCTCCATGGGTGGAAAAAAGAGGAACTGAAGAGGCTTGGGATCAGTTAGTCCAGTGAACTAATGGAACATGTGAACTTTAATCTCCATGACTCTAAGAGCAGAAGAACTACATGATGCCTGGCTGCCACTACCAATGGCTCTGAAAGGGATCACGTTAGAAAGGATCTGTGGTAGAGTGGAGAAAATGTGAAACAAAACTCAAAATTATTGTTTAAAAAAAAACAAAACAGACCAGACTTACTGGGCAGAAAGAGATCAAAGGAACCTGAGAATGTGGCCCCTGACCACCCTTCAGGTCTAGAAAGGAACTCACGCTCGTGGTCCAATTTTCAGTCAAGCAGTAGATAGATATATAGGGGGGACAATAACACTAGTAAGGCATACTGTCCATGGAATGGTCAGTCATTCAAAACCAAAAGGGCAACATTTACTAATTGAGAAGGGATGGGAAGGTGGGTGGAATGGAAATCGGAACCACAGGGAGAAAATGGGGTAACTGTTGTCGCAGAATTCTGTATGTTGTTGTTGTGAAGTGCCATTGAGTCGGTTCCAATTCGTAGCTACTCAGTGTAGGGTTTCCAAGTAGCGACTAGTGGTTTTGAACCATCAACCTTGCAGCTAATAGAAAAATTGTTATTATATACAAAAATAGAGGGCTTGGCATAATGATCCCCTATATAATGCCGCTTATGAATAGCCGCCCACTCTTACCCTCCAACACCACAGCAGTCTTCCATTTATAGAATGAAGTATATAACAATAGTTACCTCGATTCCAAACCATTTTCATTACCTTACAATGAAACCCCTCACTGCCTGGAAGCGCCACTAACCCACTGTCTATAGATTTCCCTATTCTGAATATTTTGCATAAATGGGATAATATATGTGGCCTTTGTGCCTGGCTTCTTTCACTTACCATAATGTTTTCTGGGATGATTCCTAGGTGAGTTTAATGGGTTTCCAAAGATAAGAAACTACAGCTACTCATCCCATTAGTGTGTACTAGTTTTCCATGTAGAGCTGCCCTTGGCCCTGATTCTAAACAACTTTCTTGAGAGCAGACTTCTGCCATGTTGTTGTTGTTAAGTGCTGTTGAGTTGGTCCTGACCCATAGTGCCCCTGTGTAGGGTTTCCAAGGAACGGCTGGTGAGCTTGAGCCACCAACCTTGTGGTTTAAACCAACTTTGCAGTCCAGCACATTACCCCGCAGCACCACACCAGGATTCCCTCTGCAATTTGTTTCCTGTGGGAATGACGTGACATCCTGTTCCTATTGCATCAACAGCCCCAACCACTAGGGAATACCACGTACCTCTGCTCTGTTGTCAAAGGATAAGTTTCTCTAATCACTACACTGTGAACTTGGAGAAAGCCTCAAAGTGTGTGCTCAGTGTTCTTATCTGTAAACTGGGGATGTAGTATTTTAATGAGAAGTCAATAAATTAATTCATATAAAATGTGCCTGTACTTAATAGGCAACCTATTCAGAGTGTGTGGGTGTTTGTGTATGTGTTTGTATGAGATAGAAAGAGAGAAAACATGCGCACAAACCAAGAGGCACAAAACACTATTACATGTAAGTGACGAGAATGGAAAAGAATATCAATAAGTTTGTGTAGACTAAATAGGATGTACTGTACAAGCACTATGTGTACTTGTATATGTGCTAAGCACTGACTGGGCTTTTTGTCCCTTGTGAAGTTTTTTATTTTATTTATTCCTAAAACAGTGATAGAACTCTAGAGTGGACTTTCCCTCTACCGATAGTTCTCTTATCCCACCTCTTACTTTTGGCTGAGGTATGATTTCTTCATCTGTGATGAATTTAGTCATGAATCTTTTAGGCTCAGTGATTCCAGAGGGGTAGTAGCCCATAGTCTTGAATTTTATTTCAAATTATGCTGTAACTGATGGTAAAACTCTGGGCAGTTTTGTGCCTCAGTTTCCTTATCTGTAAATGAGGACTGTTGTCGCTGGGTGTCGTCAAGTCAGCTCTAACTGAAAGCAACCCCACGCGCAACAGAACATAACGCTGTCTGGTGCTGTACCATCTTCACAGTTGTTATTATGTGTGAACCCACTGTATCAGTCCATCTTGTTGAGGGTCTTCCTCTTTTTTGCTGACCCTCTACTCTTCCAAAGGAGCTCTGGTAGCATAGTGGTTATGAGTCAGGATACTAACCTCACGATCTACAGTTTGAAACTACCAGTGATTTGACAGGAGAAAGATGAGGCTTTCTGCTCCCATAAAGATTTACAGCCTCAGAAACCCTGTGCAGGCTCACTATGAGTCAGAACTGACTCCACATCACATAACCACCACCACCACCTACTTTTCCAAGCATGAGGTCCTTCTTCAGGGACTGATTGTTCCTGACAACATGTCCTAAGTATGTGATACGAAGTTTCTCCATTGTTGCTGCCGAGGAACAAACATCGTGACTAAAAAGCCTTCCAGCTCCATTTCCTGGTATTACCTAGGATTCTGCATCCAGGTCTCCATGTTGCTTGCTGGAGGTCATGAGGACACATGTTGGGAGGTACACGTGTTGCTGCTTTGAGGCTTCATTCATTAATTCAGCACATCTGTCCTTTAGGGAACATCCCTGGCTCAGCTGTGCTGGTGTTTGACATCCACGTGATTGACTTCCACAACCCCTCGGACTCTATCAGCATCACCTCCCACTACAAGCCCTCCGACTGCTCAGTGCTGAGTAAGAAAGGGGATTACCTCAAGTACCATTACAACGCCTCCCTTCTGGATGGCACACTGCTGGATTCCACGTAAGGACCTCCTGGGAATGGTGTGGGAGTTGGCGGGTAAAAGCTGTGTGTCCTGCTGAACCTCCATTTCTTGTCATCAGATGCTGGTTACGAGCTTTTGTAGCCTCCATTCCTTCCCCAGTGCGAGGGTTAAGCCTTCATCACCGCCCAGGCACGTAATTTTAAGCGTTTTCTATTGAGGGTCTCCCTCTGCTCCAGACCATTTCTCACGCTGTGAAAACTGTGTCTCTGAAAAACAGATCTCTTCATATAACTTCCCTTTTGGAAAAGGAACCCATAAGGAACGTTAAGTTTCGATTAGCGTTCTCACTAAGAGCGAGAACAAAATTTGGAAACTGATAGTGTTGATGACCCCTCAACACAGTGAATGTAGCTCATGTCACGGAGTTGTAAAAGTAGTTGAAATGGCAATGGTTTTGTTATAAATACTGATTATCCAAATACCTTCACTCAATTCACAATAAATGTTTTACTATAATAAAAGAATATTTTTGTTTGAAAAAAGAGAAAACCTACAGATAAATTACAAACTCTGTATTTTGCCACGCAAGGAGGCACTCCTCGCCTGGCTCCATCCTACCTTTTTGGCCTCATCCCCTGCTGGCCCCAGCGTCTGCCTCCCAGGTCTAAACTATACAGCAGTGCCGGCTGTGCACTGATGCCTGCCCTCTGTGTCTCTGGTCTACCTTCGTCTAGCCAACTTATTTCCTGATTTAAATGTCCTCTCTTCTCAAGACACTTTTGCCTTACTTCCTGGGAAGAATCACTGCACCCATTTATAGTCTCACAATACCTATATTCTCTGATGGTATATTATATACAGATAGTCCCTGATTTACAATATATTGGTTAGGTATGCACTTAAGACCATCTTTTGTTGTTGTTGCTAATCTGCAAGGACTCCTGGTGTGGCGCTGTAGGATCAAAACTGGACTGTGAGCCATAAGATCATCAGTTCAAACCCACCAGCTGCTCCTTGGAAACCTTATACAGGGTCTCTGTGAGTCGGAATTGATTCAATGGCACTTAAAAACAACAACATGTACTACATACAAAAATCACGGAATTTACTGATGTTATCATTCTTCCGGCAATCACCAAAGATGCTGATAGCAAAAGACAATAATAATGACAACTGAAAAAGAATGACACCTTTGACTTACATCAGAACCAATTTATGACCAAGTCCTCAGAACCCTGTTGAAAATCGGGGGCTATTTATACAACATACAATTTGCCATCTTAACCATCCTTGATGCACAAGTCAGTGGCATTAATCACACTCAGCGATGTGCAACCATCACCTCTAATTGTTTCCAAAAGTTTTCATATCCTAAATACAGGAAACTCTGTACCCATTAAGCATTAACTCCCTATTTCTTCTTCTCTCCCCCAGGCCCTGGTAACCACAAATCTGTTTCTGCATGTATCCATTCTAGATGTTTCATACAAATGAGATCCTATAATTTGTATCATTTTGTTTTAGCGTGTTTTCAGGGTTCATTCTTGTAGCATTTGTTAGAACTTCATTCATTATTTATGGATCTTGGCTGAAAGCAGAGAATATCAGAAAGATGTTTACCTGTGCTTTATTGACTACGCAAAGGCTTTCGATTGTGTGGATCATGACAAACTATGGACAACATTGTGAAGTATGACTATTCCAGAACACTTAATTGTGCTCATGAGGAATCTGTACCTGGACCAAGAGGCAGTTGTTTGAACAGAACAT